CAAAGCTTGCATCCCTAATTGTTTAAATTCTTTGCTTAATCCTGCTCTCATAGTCTCTGAAAAGCCATATTCAGATTTAGCATAAGCTCACATCAAGCATATCGACACAAATAATATTTTACCTATCCATTTTGTAGTTTGGTTTGAATTGGCCCCAAAATGAAATATTCTTTTCTATAAAAGTACTTTCCTGAGAACTAGAACACTGATATAAAACCCAACACTAAAGTGTTTCCATTTTAATGGACATTAAATCTGAATTTGGGCTGCTTCAGTGCCTACTTTTGAGAACGTGGAACTGCTGTTGAGCTAATTACTGAAAAATCTATTAATCACTCTGGAAGAAAATTTTCCTCCAAAATGCCTTAAAAAAGCTTCTAGACTGATTTATGGAAGACATTTTAAACAGAAGATCACTGTGGCATTGGTTTAATCTCATTGAAATATTCCTACCTTGCAAAAAAAAGTTCTGTAGGTTTTGCAGCAATTTCCCTCTATATATTCAAATTCCAGTGTGAAAAAAATGTTTTAAGACCAACTGGGCTACACTGTCCTATGCTGAAGTTTGCTTGGCAAGGCAGAAGGGGCAGACCACAAGGAAGCTGGTTATGACTGCATCATCTTCTGTCCTGCATTGCCACAGCTCAGTTTTGGAGCAGGTTCACAGAGGCTCCAACCCTCTCTCATGACACCTGGCAAGATGCTCCCACCCTCTGACAACTGGCAAAACTCATCCATGCTCTGGCCAGACCCAGTTCTGTTCCAGGCTGCACTTCCAGAGGGCTGACAAGGAGAACCCCTAGCAGCTCACCAAACAGAGCCAGGGTCAGACTTGCAGCATTACCAGGGTAGTATCGAGGAACTACAGAGGAAAAGCTCACTCCAAAAATATTTCAAAATCAGCACCTATTTCCACTTCAGTTTTACGCACTCTGCAGGGAAAATAAGAGTTGAACAAACAGCCTCAAAACAGAAACCTAACCTTGTTAAGCAATACTAGAGTTATAAAACTTTGATTGCTTGCACAACTACTATACTATCTTATATATCATCAGAGCATGTCAGCAAAAGTATGGTGAGAAACTGTGTCTTAAATCCTCAAGTTAATCCCTGCTTATTCTTTACAGGATATAAGAAGAGTGGAAGATCTTGTGCCATCATTTCATTCTTTGTCTTGCAGTACTGAGGTCTGATGAAGCCATTGTGTGTGTATGTATGTAAACGTATTTTCCTCAGTCCCTTCCAGAACCACGCAGTTGTCCTGGCATTGTTAGGTACTACAGCTACACATCCTGATATTTCCAGTAGAGCCCTCCATATGAGCAGGACTGAGTGTACTTGTTTCTCAGCTGGCTGTTTAATTGACTCTTTAAAAAAAGGAACCTGTGCAAGGCCTGTGCCTTCAGCTAAATTTGGGACTTAAAAAGATTTCTCTCAGTGCTGGTAAATAGTACGTGAAGGCAAATGTTATTACGACATAATATTTGCTACTCTACTTAAAGCAGAGTTCCTGGGAACCAATAGTTACATGAGACTATCAGGCTCAGCTCAGGAGGCAATTGTAACATATAAGGTGATCATTCAGCATGATGACATGGGTTAAAAAGAGCTTTGTGAGTGTAATAGATAACATCTGCACGTGACTCTAAAGTCGTCAGTGGGCTTACGAAATTAATTTCTTCCATGAGAAGCACGCCTGTTTTACATGCATTTGTACAGATCTCTTTCTTTTCTCTGCCCCTCCACCCTCAAAAGAAAGGAGTAAAACCTTTACTGTTATGGCTATAGAGAAGTTGTTTTCCTGCATAATATTTTATAAAGATTTTCATGATTTCACTGCACAAGAGACATTACTATAGGAATGGAAACACTTTTACCTGATAAAGGTTTACCTTGTTTTCTAGAATGCAGCAACAATGTCAACATCGAAGAATAAAAAAATCTGAAGACTGTTTCAAACTGTAGCAAAACATAAGTTTGTGAGGTATTTAATGGAACTTGGAAACCACTTAATTTTTCTCCCAAGTGTAATAATCATCAGGATCTTCGTATTGTACTGAAAGAACAGCCACACCTGTCAGTATGTTTCTTCAAAAGTCAAAGCTATATATGTGTAGTCAAAGAATAAGAAGCCAAATAATTGTTTTCTGCTTTTCTTGAGAGGACAGGAACACAATCATTTCCTGTTACTTAATTGTCTCCAACTTCTACTTACGGAATTTCCAATGCAAAGTAATTGTAAAACTTGATGACTACAATGTTTTAGAATTTAATAAAGATACATGCTTTAATGGGTTTCTTTACTCAGCCATCATTTTTATAATTGAAATAAAAAAACCTTTATTCATCCTATGAGTTTGCTCATTTGATCATCCATGATTAAGATGAGTAAAACGTTCCCAAAGAAGCAATTCAGCACAAGCTGCCCACACACTTCTGAAGGAATGAATGAATGAAAGAAAAAAAAAAAAGATCAATCAGAAACTGGCAAGGAATCCTGCCCTTGGACAGCCATTGGAGTCTTGCATCCCTAAAACTGCATTCTTAAGTGATTTCATCTGTCCACAAGGGTTTATTTATCACTTACGTTTGACAACTTTCAGTCATATTTGTCCATGCTGATCCTTTTACCTCCATGTAATCATGCATCCTTTAGAGGTTCTCAGATCTTTAGTCTGGGTTGATTCACCACCTTTTAGCATTTGGCTTGACCAAAATAGATTTTATTGTTCTGCAGTCACGCCCTTCACTTTCCCTTCCTCTGTTACAGTGGATAACATCACCATTTCTTCTCTGTCATCGAGACTCAAAACCATGGTAAAGTCAGTTTTGACTGTTCTCTCCTCTGCTTGATTGTCAAATATTGTTGCCTTTTTTTCCCCACACAAGTCTATTCTTTCCTTTTTAGTCAAATATTTCAACTTTCCTTCTGTATCTTTTTCCCCCCTCTTCTTGGGTCTTTTTTCCTGGTTTCCCCTTCAAAATGCTTGCTGTCAAAACTGTCAATCACCTTTCCTTTCTTTTCTTCTACAGATGCAGTGGTAATCATGATCATCTAAAACACTGGGTATTACTCACTGAAATAACAGAACATTGAAGATAGGCAGTAAAAATCAACCAAAGCAATAGTACCTCTTTCTGTGTTTTCTCAGATACTTTAAGAACTATTCAAGTGTCATCTTATCGAGGGAGGATGAGGGGACAAAAGTACCAAGCTCTTTTTATCAAAGACGGAAGTTTAGGTACATAATGGTTTACATCCTCCTAACTGAGACTGCAATAACAACCATATGCACGTACACCACACCATTCACCATATAAACTGCACAATGTACGTGGCATATTAATGTTTCTATGCTCACTATAATCAACTGCAATTTCATCTTGCAAGTTAATTCTGTATAATTGTCTGTAGGTTGTGAATTATTCTTTCTCACCTGAAAATCAGAGTTTCTTTCTCTATTGACCCATGGAAACTGGCACAGACCCTGGTGCAGCCAACCAGTCCAACCAGCCTTCAGGGCGTGACGACACACAGGCATCAAATCCAGCTGAGAAAAAACAGAACAGCATCATTGCACTTGCCTTTATTAAAAGTTACTGTAACATGGGACATCTGTCCATCCTTTTCAACCTGCCCAACCTGGGCTAATGTGAGCAAATACATTCTCTGAATCCTCTTCTCTTTCTACACTCCATAGCTCCGTGATGTATCCAGCAAGCACCCAGACGGCCACTTTGATTGCCATGAAGCCTGATAGATCCCTTGCAGATGGTTTTCCAGCCAAAGAGCTACACTTTGTCACTTTCCAGCTTCCATCCCTGTTCCCCTGTTGTACACACAGCTCTTACCTCTTCTCTGTACTCCCAAAGAAACTTCCTTTGCTGCGTCCTTTGAGTTGTTGGCCACCTGCCTTCTGTGCAACATTTGCTTTTGTTCCATGTGCTCTCAGGCCAGTACCACCATGTTTGAAGCAGAATGTCCTATCACAGAAACTTACTGAGAGTTAGGCATTTATTTGATGGTTAGATCGTAAAGTATGTAACCACAGCCAGGTTCCATAACTGATAAATTCTTTCTCAGTTTAGATCTTATGAATGTTCTTAAGAATCTATGTAGAGATATTAAGCTGAATTCAACAAAAAAGACATCTCAAGTTGGAAAAATGTGACACAGAAATTTTAACAGACCAAGAATGCTTCTGTTATGCCTAAAATTGCTTGTAAAACAGTAGTAATGGAATAGCAAAACCAGTGCAAGTGGAAACAAATCTGGGTTTATGAAGTGTTTTAGCAGGAATGTCACATGGCACAGCAGAATTGCCTTCTGAGCTCTGTGGTAACAGATCTCGGTCTCTTCTGCAGCTCGCGCCCTTTTGCTGAGGAATCATCCCACTGAATAACAATAACCCTTACACGTTAAGTATGTGATCTCCTTGCGACTCGGTCACACAGACTGGGGACATTCCCGTCCGTGCTCAGCTGCCTGTCAGCACAGGCACACCAGGCCCTTTCCCGCTGCAGCTCTCCGGCAGCGCTGGCGGCTGGGCCAGTGACCCGCGGACAGGCTGCACAGCACAGGGAACCACAGGCACGACATGTGGAGTTGCCACCCACCCACCTACTATAAGAAATCCGCAAGGTAAAGATCTGCCAGTGGGAATTACAGAGGGATTTATTGGCTCAAGGCTCCGCAGACCCGAAGGGGCTCTGGGAAAAGACTTCTCAAAACCGGGGATTTTAGGTTCCACAGAGACTTTAACGAGGAGCGAAGAATTGCCGGCTACTTTTCTCGGTTGCCAGAGGGTCAGCGTGTAGAGCGCACAGTCAGCCAGCGGTGGGTTTATTATTATTATTCCAGGGGAAAAAAAAAAAGAAAAGAAAAAGGAGAAGTAACAAAAAAAAAAAAAAGCAGAACCCGCCTGACGCGGCGGGCGGAGCCCCCGCGGGCCAATGCGCGGGGCCGGGGGCGGTGCAGGAGGAAGCGGCGGCTCGGGCCGATGCGGGCGGCGGCGGCGGACCCGGGGCACCGCCCGGGCTCAGCAGCGGGCAGCGGCTCCTGGCTCCTGCCGCTGGCGGCGGCGCTGGCGCTGCTGCTCACGCTGGTGGTGCGGCAGCTGCTGAAGCAGCGGCGGCCCCCCGGCTTCCCGCCCGGCCCCGCGGGGCTGCCGCTCCTCGGCAACATCCCCGCGCTGGGCGCGGAGCAGCCGCACATCTACATGCGGCGGCAGAGCCAGATCCACGGGCAGGTACCGCCGCTCCCGCCGCCTCCTCCTCGGGGTCCCCGGAGCGGGAGAGGGGCGGGATGGGGCGGGGCGGGCTTCGCTGCAGGCGGCGGAACCCGGGGAGGAGCAGCCGGGAGGGACGTGCCCCGGAGCTGTCCCGGAGCGGCCCCGAGCGACTCTCGGTGTGGTGTCCCCGGGGCGGAGGCAGCGGCGCGGGGGGCGGAGCGCCCCGCCGGGGAACGGGAGCCGGGAACGGGATCGGGACCCGTCCCGTAGGAGCCGGGACAGGCCCGCGGCAAACGGGAAGGATTTCCACCTATCTCTCCCGCCGCAGCTCCCTCCTTAGGCTCCTGCTCTTAGTTCTTTTTTTTTTTTTGGGGGGTGCAATGCTTAAACTGGTGTCCTGTAAATGGCAATAACTCCCTTGTTTCATATCCACAAGTCCTGGGCTTGAAATTAACAAAATTACAACACTGAAAGAGCAGGCACTGGGATAAGGCAACATTTTCACTGAAAACATCTTCCTTCAAAGTACCTCCAGTGTACTTTCAATGTACCTTCAGTGGTGTATTTGGGATACTTACTTACAGTCCCTTAGTGTTACTATGTAAGAATGGATTTATTTTCTTTTTGTACTTTCTTACAGATCAGGTTTTTCTTTTCATCATCAGTGTATTCTTACAAGCATCATAAAATTTAACTCCAAACTAGATCTAAAGGGGAAAAGCAGGCATGTGTTTTGGCAGTAGGAAAAAAAAAAGTAAATGTGTTTCAAGCAAAATACTAGGGCAAGCAGAATGGAAATAGGAAGGAAAACGTGTCATCAAATAGAGTAAGCTTTCTACTTGCCTGGAATGCTGTATGTAGTTCTAGTTGCTGTCAGAAAAGATCCTGAAGAATTTTGAGGAACTTGAAAACGGCCTATTTGGGGTGCTCTGGAAAAATACAATAAGAGAATTTTTTTTTAAAGTTATGTATGACATAGGAATAAAGATAAATAAGCTAGATCAAAGTACACAAAACTCACAAATGGCATACAGAAATCTCTTGGGAATGTGTTCTTGACACATAGAAAAGAAGAGCCATTATAACAGTGAAAATGTCAAGGTTGCTAAAATAAAATGGTCACAGACTCTAGAATCATTTAGGTTGGAAAAAAACCCTTAAGATCACTGAGTCCAACCATTAACCTCACATGAAGTCCACCACTAAACTATGACCCCAAGTGCTGCATCTACACAGCTTTTAAATACCTCTACAGATTGTGACTCCACCACTTTCCTGAGCAGCCTGTTCCAGTGCCTGACAACCCTTTTGGTGACAACCCAGTTGTCACAGAATGTGTAATTAGACTAATATAATTTCTTATTGTGGAGGTCAACAGCTTTGAGATGAAGAAAAACACAGAGATTTATATAGGTAAAAATACAGATTTATAATGCTAAGGAAAGTATGGAAAGGGACATAAGATTTCAATCTTGAGTTTAGCGTCGGTTACAGTTTTTAAAACTTAGGTTAAGATTTTAATTTTGTTTATCCTGCACAAGTTTATACCTTCTGCAGGCTGTATTGCATCTTTTTCCAAAGCATCTAATGATAACCACTTGTGGAAACAGGAGATGGGCCTAGCTGGGCTGTGCTGTCAGTTGTTGGCTCTCCTGATGGCTCTCACTGCTGGTTCTTTGGGAGCCTGTGCAAAGTAAGCTGGTGTCCGGGTTCAGACGCAGAAAGGACTGAGAGCAGCCTGGTTGTTCTCTCAACTGACACCACTTCTGTGTCTGCCATTCTTAAGTGACCTGTTGGGAGTCTGTGATAGGAATTGCAGCCATACTGCCCTTAACCAAATTAAGCTGTTGGAATTTACCTTGACTCAGGCAGGGAAGAGAAGCAGATACAATAATACAGCTTTTCTCCCTCCCGTGGAAATGGTCTCAGCAAATTAAGAAAGTAGACAATACATGTACTTTAGTGCTTACTAAAAAATTTTATATATAAAGTATATAACATAATATTATTAGATAAATATATACTTCTACTAATACCTACTTATATCTACTAATGCTAGGAGAAAGTACATTTTTTTTCTGAAAAATATGCATTGTTGTACCAAATTCACATTTTTTGGATGACTGTGAAAGTATCCCAGTCCTTTGGAGAGCTGGTTGCTTTGGTGCACAGCAAAGCACAGAATGCAGTGTGAGATAATTTGCTTTATCTTTTGACAGAGCAAGTTATCTCACAACAGACTCTACTGTAATGCCACAACTGTACCACCTCTCATTACCTGTATGCCCTACTGAAAGTTATTCAAGTATTTTGCATTGTTTAGTGTTGTTTCACCTTTTCATTGCTTGTTCTCATTATTTGTTCTTAGGATTTGGTTGTAATAGCGTTTTACAATTTTTATTCTTTTTTTTCCCCCCAAAGATCTTCAGTCTTGACCTTGGAGGTATATCTGCTGTTGTACTGAATGGCTATGATGCAGTGAAAGAATGCCTCGTTCATCAAAGTGAAATCTTTGCAGATAGGCCGTCTCTTCCCTTGTTTAAGAAGCTGACAAACATGGGAGGTGAGTGCTAATGTCTTCTGTATAATAATGTAATTTCTGTCCAATAGATGGACATAATCACATGAAACATTGGCTTTAGCCATTTTCTCTGCTTAGTCTCCTTTCATAAAATACTTGATGCTTCTTAAACAGTTTTACTTGGAAAGGATTGTCAGTCTTGGACTATATTCCATAGAAAGATGTCTGAAATGTTTTTTGTCTCTCTTTTTGTCTTGTTAAATGATTTTATTATCTTATGGGGGAAAAAAAATTAAGCGTTGCATAAAATACGTGTCAAAATATTTTTTCAGGCTTACTGAACAGTAAATATGGCAGAGGATGGACAGAACATCGCAAATTAGCTGTAAATACCTTTCGAACTTTTGGATATGGTCAAAGGTCCTTTGAACACAAAATTTCAGAAGAATCTGTGTTTTTTCTTGATGCCATTGATACATACAAAGGCAGACCGTTTGATCTTAAGCACTTGATAACAAATGCTGTTTCAAACATTACTAATTTGATTATTTTTGGAGAACGTTTTACTTATGAAGATACTGAATTTCAGCACATGATTGAGATTTTTAGTGAAAACATTGAATTAGCTGCTAGTGCTTCTGTATTTTTATATAATGCTTTTCCTTGGATTGGTATTTTGCCATTTGGGAAACACCAGCAGCTGTTTAGAAATGCAGCTGAAGTTTATGACTTTCTTCATGATCTCATTGAACGTGTCTCTGAAAATAGGAAGCCTCAATCACCTCGACATTTTGTAGATGCATATTTAGATGAGATGGATTGCAATGAAAATGATCCAGAATCTACATATTCAAGAGAAAATTTAATTTTCTCTGTTGGAGAACTCATCATAGCTGGAACAGAAACCACGACAAATGTTTTAAGATGGGCAGTGTTATTTATGGCTCTTTATCCAAACATTCAAGGTAAGAAATTTGATATTTTGAGGAACTGATACCCTTTCTTATTGCAAATTTAATATGCCTTTTCAAAGTCGTGCAGTGATCCATAGTCATTACCAAAAAGAAGGTTTGTGTATATTATTCTATTGTATCATTTACCAAACATACTATGGACAGAGGTGAAAAGTTTGTTTTATATGCAGATGAAGAGGATATCAAAAGTCAAGTGTCATGACAAAATTTTAACATATTATTTTGTGAATACATTTTTATGAAGCTTTAATATTTTTAAGTATTTTCAATATATTTAAATTTAGTGTTGTGATGCGTGGTCTGTTGTTGGCAGATATACTAACCTATGCTGTTAATAAATAATAAGAAAATGCAATTAAATATGAAAGTAATAAACTAAATTAAAAATATACAAACATCAGCAAAAATGTAAATCAGGTTGTAGTTAGTTTAGGTACTATTTCTTTTTATCTTAAGTGCCTCAGTTCACAATAAATTTACACGTTATAGACATTCATATTCATACTTCTGAAAGAACAGAAATGGCATTTAAAAACTAATAAGATGTGTTACATTCACTCTGAAGTAAGACAGCAATAGGTGTCTGAATGTCAGCCCAAACATTTTGTGCAGAAGTTTGGATTTTAGAAGTGAACAGTCAAGTCTCTAATTTCACTGCCTCCACTTCACTTTTCCTGTCAAAACCTTAGCAGTGCTTGGTTCAATTAGGGACTTCCAGTATTTGGAGGAAGAGCAGCCAAGATAACTTGGACAGTTACTGCTGATACTTTCACCAAAAATCATTGCTCTAACATCAATTTCATCATCATTTCAGAGTGGGGACAATAGCACTACCTGTAGCTATAAGGCTCTTGAGCTCTCAAGTTCTGCATAGGAATCAGGTATCTTTATGTATGAAAAATTAGACTTTCTTCTTATGGTAGTATGTGCATGACTCTATACATTCTGATTTTCTCAGCTAGAATAATTTTTAATTTAAATCTTGGGGCATAAAATGCCCAATTCTAAAATTGGAGATCAAATTTTATATTTACTTTTAAAGTAAATACAGCTTTACTTGGAAAAAAAGAAAGTGAAAATATGATGGTATCTTATGTTAAGGCCTGGCATGCTATAAACAGTACAAATCATTCAGCCTAAATAAAGAAGTTGATTCCAAAGCTCTGTTGTTGCTGCTGTTATCATTATTTTAAGTCCCATATTCAGCTTAGCTGGTTAAAATATCTGGCTAAGCAAGTAGAACCAAAGTTTATTCAAATATCTCCATAGAGCCATAACCTCTTACGTATTTTCTTACTTTCATTTATTCAGCTATTTAAGTTAGTTGATGAATTAACTGAATGAACTGATTAAAGATTTTTAAAAATGGGAAAGCTTTCTTCTAGCCTAGGTAAAAACAAGATTTAATGGGATCTGAGATGCTAATTTTAAAGAATTTGAGGGACATGCTTAGGAGAAATATGTAGCTTCAGCTCAATCAGTTCAGCCCAAAATTTTTCTTGTGGAAGCTTAAAACTATGATTGCCATTTTTAACCAGTCAGCACATTCCAAATGATATAAAATAAATGAGTTTTTAAAAAAAGAAATATTGCTTTTCATGCATCTAAGTTCCACCAATTAATTTATATGCTTTACACAGCATAATAAGAAAATCTACAAAAACCCCACATTTTGTAAAATTAAAAAAAAATAAATCTGATTTTATAGGTACTTACATGATCCATATTTTAGTTAAAACTGTGTTAAGGGTGATAATTAGGCAATAGGATGTGTTTATGCTTTATATTACATAAAAAGCCCAAATGCAAAAAGATCCATTTAAATCAAAGTTTCTAATCAGTCTGTCCTGGCTGACAAACAACATTCATATCTTAAAACAAGAACATCCTTATTTCTTCTCAATTAGCATCTGACCAAGATACTGTTTCTCAGTATCAAGAAAACTTTGTAGTTTTGTGTCTGCTATGCACTGACCGATTTTGTAGAGATCCACTCACCTAAAATAATCTGATCTCAGATTTTACAATACAATGAGTTTCTGAATTTGGATTAAAAAACAGTTCATCTGGAAAAAAGTAAAAATTACTGTTATTTTTCATTTATTTAGAATTTCTTTGTCCAGCTATTACAATATGCACTGACACACCACTACATCACAAGTGTGCTTTCACTAAGCTGCTTTTCATCTCTGGTTGAATTTGTTCCTTTTCAGTTAAATTCTGGTTCCTGTGCCTGTTAATTCTCACTGTGTTTTTTCAGATATTTTAGGTTCTAGAGTGAATGATTTTACACTCTGACAATTCTAAAGAATCATAGCAGAGTTAAAAAAGGGGAAGTTCAAGTGGCTGTGTTCACTCAAGTGTTTAATGTACTTTATCTTTTACATCCTTTTGCTTGTTTCTTTAGTTTTGAAGAGCTCCAGAAATAAAAATATACACAAGAAAAGAAAACTATATTAAAACATGATTTTACCGAGAATAATTACATTCTAAATGAAGATTAGTGGTATATATGCTAGGAATAATTCATACTAGCTGGACAAGAAATACAGAGTCTAAATTTAAAAGTTTGTAAGCTACTATATTTTGTATAAGATACTTCATGTTTCGGTAGTCTTTTAAAAGTATATATTTTAGTTTAAATTAAAATGTAAAGGCTATTGCACAATAAACATCAGCTTTTATTGCTGTTCCTAACAGGCCAAGTTCAAAAAGAGGTCGACCTAGTCATTGGCCCAAACAAAATGCCCACCTTGGAAGAGAAATGCAAGATGCCATACACTGAGGCTGTTCTACATGAGGTTCTGAGGTTCTGTAACATAGTTCCACTCGGGATTTTTCATGCAACTTCCAAAGATACTGTTGTGCGTGGTTACTCAATTCCTGAAGGCACCACAGTCATTACAAACCTCTACTCCGTTCACTTTGATGAAAAATACTGGAGCAATCCAGAAGTGTTTTTTCCTGAGAGATTTTTGGACAGCAATGGGCAGTTTGTCAAGAAAGATGCATTTATTCCTTTTTCACTAGGTAAGAGTGCTTCCTTCCACTGTTCCTTTTCATAAATCTAGAGATGTATAACATAGAGGTGATGGCAATAAAGGGACAGAATGATATCTTTTGTTCTGATGAAACAGATTTTAAAGATATTCAATATAATGCAATCTGGAGATCACAAATTTTGGCATAATCTTTTATATAGGTGAGCTCCTTATTATATATAAACTAACAAAAATACACCTTAAAAAGTTATAATAATTGCCAGTTAATAATGACTTGAAGTAGGTGTAATTAATAAAATAGTAAGGGGAAAAGGCTGAAATTAATAGTACAATTTTTTAAAGCATCTTCTGTCTAGATTGGTATTTCAAGACAAGAAAAAGTAGCTAATAAATATATCTAAATAAATTTGACAATTCGTTTCAGTGGCATTTGTGAGGTGAGAGCAACAAATTCTCTAAAATCTGTTTCTTATTGTAAATTATCACCTATCCTTCTTACACAATACTACCAGCAAGTTCGTACAGCTCCTCTTAGAACACAGATATTATCATTCTTATTCATAGTAAGAGTGAAAATACAACTGCAGACATTTAAAGTGTTTTTAAAACCTTCTTTTCAATCCAGGAAGAAGACATTGTCTTGGAGAACAACTAGCTCGGATGGAAATGTTCCTGTTTTTTACTTCATTACTACAACGATTTCACCTGCATTTCCCTCATGGCGTCATTCCAGACCTCAAACCAAGATTAGGAATGACATTACAACCACAGCCTTACCTCATCTGCGCGGAGAGACGGTGAAGAGAAGGGTCAGGATTGTCAGGTGGAGCACAGTGCTCCAAGCTGCAGCTCAAGATCCACTTTGCCTTATATTTCTAAACACGTTCATGCCAGAAGGCCAGCTTAAGGGACTTGCAGATAAATTCTGGCTGTTTATGCACAAATAAATAATTTCTTTTTATTTGGTTTTCACAGAAAAAAGTGTGGAACACATCCTGTGTAAAACTGATGTTTTCACTACATGGGTCTATTTTAAATCTAACTTCTGCTATGGTTTTTATATATTTAATTACTTAGCAAATCATTTTACTTTGAGAGGATATTTTTATAAACATGGAGAATATGGTTCAAAATGTTTCTACTTGAATTCATCCATGGAAATCTCATTTACATTATTCCAACTAAGCTGTTCTTTATAATTCTCCTTTAAGTTTTCATAGCTAAAAACGTTTAAAAGACATCTATTTAAATTTCTGTAACCAAGAATAAACTATCTTTTCCAGCCTTGACAGATTGTCTATTAAAGCATTTTAATCCTTCTTTCTCCTTGCTCTATATTCCTAGGTGGTCATAGTTTTCTAGTGAATCAGATAACTGAATTCACTTTCAGGATCTTTTATGACTTCCTTCTGATTTAGCCAAGTATGCAAAGTATTCAATTATTGCCATACTCCTGATAATTACAGGAACTTTATGCCAGTATGTTGCATTTCCAGACACGTGTCCTCCATTGCCTTCCCACACGAAGCACTATGTAATGATTAATCTCTGCTTAAATAGTCTGAAAAAAAGCAGTGTTTATGTTACCAGAGTCACATGTAACTATCCTATGAGTAAAGAAAATAAGCTGCTCATCATTCTGACCAGAGAGTTTTTGGGGAGGGAGGTTGGAATAGGATGGAGAGAAACACCTTAATTGCATTTTAAGCACAAATATTAGGCATAGGAGCTACTCTTGACTTCTGCCAGCTTCATTTTCTATTCTTGACAGCTACTCCTTTGAGGTTAATGGTAGATAAAAGATTTGTGCCTGCAGACCCTACAGGAGAACCTGATACTCTAAATATGGTGTGTTTGGTCCCTGCCATGTGGGGAGAGAGGGCCTCAGAACAAGGTTCAGAACAAAACATGCGCTGAGCAAGCAGCTATTTGAGGACAAGGCTGAGTGTTAGACCTCGGGTTTTATACAAATAATGCTTCAACTTGGAGCTGCAGGAAAGTTGAAAGGCAGGAGTTGGTGTTTTTCTGCTGACCTGATGTTTTCAGAAGTATTTCCTTTCCTTTGAAACAGCAAAAGAGAAGAATCAGAGCTAATACCAGTTCACTTACGTAGTAGCCTATTGACTTCAGATGCAGCAGGTCCAGATTAATTTACTCATCTGAGGGTGTCACACCCACATGTCCCACAGCGAGCAGCTCATATTCTTATTCCTCATGCTCTGAAGAGGGTGGGCAGGCTACTCCACTTGCTGAATAATTAACTGCCTTTCACAGAGAGGATTTAAGACTCAAAAAAGAGAGGAAGGACGCAAGTCTGATTGCTCTGCACTGGGCACACCATGAAAACCATGAATAAACCACTCCTAAGACACTGGCAAACAGTGGGGCTTAGGAGTCATGACTGAGGCATTCCTGGATACCTGCACAAGTAGATGTTAGGTGCTTGTGAAATGCAAAAGTAAAAATTGTAGAATCTATTGAACTGGGGTGCCTTCAGTATGAAGCAACATGGAAGAGTTCAAGCTACAGTTCTGGACTCATGTTAATTCTTTCTATACCTGACCCTGTGCTCTTAAATCACAGCCAGAGTTTTGTCAGTATCTAGTCTTGCCTTCTGGGTTGCAAGAACTCCAGGCAATCCTTTGTTTTAAACATGATTGAAATATTGCTACTTGAAGTGAGGGGAGGATTAAAAAACATCAAGAACAAGTTCTTTCAGAGGGCTATGCTCAAAATGCAGCTGGACAGTTATAATTCTCTTTTGCTGAGGTATTTTGAGATCTAACTCCTGACTAGTCTTTAATCCATTTAATGAGAACCATATCGATTATATGTTGTTCTGGTTTCTAAATCAAAATGCCTTTTAAAAGCCTCAGAATATCAATCCAAACTTTTACCATTATCTGCCAACTTATGGTCTCGTTTAAGTAATCAAATACATTTGACAAACTGTCTTTTCTATAAATCTCTATCAGTTTTAGTTATATCTACACATTCATTCTGTATCAACTTTTTCATTATTTTCCCTCTGACTTAGAATTATCCTAATGATCCAATTTAATAATTTGTAATACTGACATAAGAATAGTATTTTCCAGTCCTCTGGAATTTCTCTATTGTATCAACATTCATTAGTAATGAATATCAGTAGCCAGCCAGATGTTCAGAATTTCCTGGTGAACTTTCAAAGGCTGAAATATCTAGCATAGATAGCAGCTGGCTGCTATTTAACATTGTTTTGGGATTAAAGGTTGATATATTAACCAGTATGTCTTTTTCTAGTGTAGAAATTAAGGATGAGAAAAAGCCTTAAACAGCAGTTTTTTCTGCCTGGCCTTAAGTGTCCTAACGTTTTGGATTAAAACAATGTGTCCAGATACTGATCAAAAAGATTTCTAGACATTTAAGTTGTGACTCCTCATTTTTTGCATATTAATGTCATTTATTGTGCTCTTTGTTTTACCATTTTCCTATGTTTTATTTCCCTTAGTTTTTATTTTTTGTCTTTTTTTTCCTTGGTTTTTTGTGGTTTTTTTTTTCAGAGTTACCTCTTTGAATTCATGATGGTAGTTTAGAACTGGAAGCACTATGAACTTGCAAGGAAAATTGCCTTTCACTGGGCAGAACCAATAGTTCCTTCAGCTATGGGGGTATGTCACTGTATCATGGGTAAAGGGAAATGTGGTGCTCAGGAGCCATAGAAATCTTAAAAGAGAGCACAGTGATTGTAATCCAGTATGATTTAGGTTATGTGGAACCATGATCTGGCATCAGCCAAGGGATCTTGCTTAAACAGCCCTGGAGATCCACAGCAATGCCATCTTTAGCCTGGCTGGACAACAGCTGGTAAATTTTCAGATGTTTTGTTAGAAATAGTTGTCACCTCATGGAGAGAAACAGATTCCACGTAGATTCTCTGTATGTTGAGAGAACAGACATGTCATTCAAAATAATGTTTTACTGGCTGGTCAAAACCTCCAGTTACTCAGTGTGCCAAGGACAAACAAGACAACTTGGCATGAAGATGCTTAAGGTGATCTCATATCTTTTCAGATCATGTTCAACAAGGATTCTGGTAGGTAGGATATCAGCACAGCACCTAGCAGTGAAAAAGGTGAGATATTCATTTCATACACTCATACTGCAATCCATTCATTTCACAGAGTATGTTTTTGACTCCCCGTGGGCCAGATCCAATATCAACAGAAGGAAGGCCTTTTCTTCTGGACTCTGGCCTTTTTGGGCATGTCCACATATAAATGCATATGTGTATGAGCCAATGACACAGAAAACAGGCATGGGATGAGGGACATCTATATTAAAAGCTGTAATTCTGAAAGAGCTTGGGGTTCATGGTGGGTTGTTAGTTAAACATGAACTTTAACTGTTCAGCCAAAAGATCTTTTGTTTATGGAATACTGAATGAGGATAGAATCATAGAATCATTTAGCTTTGAAAATACCTTTAAGATCATTGAGTCCAACCATTGACAGTTGTGGAAGCTGTATAAGTATTTGGTGCTGGCACAAGCATTCCTTGAATACTGAGCCTTGTTCTGTTGTCTATAGCTGAAGGAGGATTAAAAAAAAAAAAATCAGTAGTATTCCTGTAAAGCCATAAAAATCACTAAGAATATGCCTGTGCAATACGTTCTGGATTATTGCAAGCTACTTCTACTGACTTATAAATTGACAAAATAGTATGTGATCATACCAGGGCAGCACCAAGTCCAAGCTAATACCCTTCCACTTCAGACTTGGGGACACACTGGCACTGTTATAAAATTTTTGGATCAGTTGGGTGACCGAACATGCTCCGGAATATACACCAGAATATACACAGAAATGTACAGTACAACATACTGGATAGTGACACATTCAAGATATTTCATTTGCTTGGTTTACCAAACATGTGACTGTGACTTGAGTCCAAAAAGTTGATAAATTATCTCTTCAGTAAGTAGACAAGAAATAAATAGAAGTCAAGATGAAATATCTTTGAACTAGGAATGAGGTGAATACTTTGAACACTTTCAAATGCAGAACCAGGTATACAACTACCAGTGAGGATAGTTAATCCTGGATTGTTACTGAAACTTTAAAATTAGTTATTAGAGCTTTCTTCTGTGCTGTGGTTCTAATTTGCATCTAATTAACGACATGATTTTACAGTAGTCCCTCCTATCTCAATCACCATCTTATAAAATGTCCTATTCTTTCTGAACTCCAAGCCCCTGCTAACTATTCAAGTGCTAAAGCAGCCTGAGCTCATGTAGCAAGCAGGTCTTTTCTTGATTTAGTTTGTTGTTCTGCTACACAATTAGATTCTGAATCTAATTCCATTTCAGGCTGTCTGAATACTGAAAATAACAACGAATCTGCATGCCTGAATTAAGTCTAAGAGTTTGTGCAAGCAGCAGTAGATGAGGCAGATTATGTTGTCATGAAGATAGCACTTTCACAAGAAAAGTAACAAGCTCAGAGAGAAACACAATGAAAAATAGTCAAATCACTTCAAAAAAGCAGTGAAAATAAAATGTTGTGATTTTTGCAACAATGCATCAAATGGGAAAACATAAGGATTCAAGATAAATGTAGGGTGGTAAGGGGAGGAAATCATACTGGTGAAGACACCAGAAGTTACCTTTGATCGAGAGAGATGGAATGATGAATACACAAGATAACAAGCCAAGTACAGGGGACTGTTCAATAAGAGTTGGAAAGGTCAGCTCTCAGTATAAATTGCTCTGTGAAGATACAGACATGCATTTTCATACCAGCTACATGGCCAAGGTGTTTTTTTTGTACTGGGCCTCACAATTCAAACCCACTGTCTAATCAAGATCCGATCAAACTACCCATTCTGGAAATATTATGCCTTACTCTGTCCTTTCATAACAATATAAATTGAGGATCAGCAGATTCTCCCATTTCTAGATTATCCCTTTAGGTATTTTTGAAGGCTGTCAACTACCTCGATGACATTAGAATTAGACAGAACCCATACCCAGAGTGGTCATTCCTTCGGAAGACTGCCAGACTTCAGGAGATATTACATTTGTTACATTCTTCTGAATAAGTAACATTCCAAATAGATTAAACCCATTAAAATAATGGAGCATATCCGGAATATGCAATCTAATCCAATAGTTTACTGTTACTGCAGCAGATGGCTGCTTGCCTAAAATTTTACATGTGATATAGACCGGCCTATAGCAATTTACCAGAAAACAGAATAAATTTACTATTTATTCTGCTGCTTTGTTTAAATGCTGACTTCCTTTTCTACACTCATTCTAAA